TCACTGCTTTGCTGTATGACCTTAGTCCAGTCATTTCCTTTGATCCTCATTTTTCTCGTCTGTACAATGGGAATAATGATCCTTTACTTCCCAGTGGTTTTGAGAGGCTCGTTTCAATGCTCTGAAAACTTTGCATGAAGGACTAGAGAAGAGTACAACGTGATTAGTATCACGAGCCATGGCACGTTGAATGGGTGCATGTAAGCATGATTGTTTACCAGCTTTGATTCCCACACTACAGCAAGATGTGCTTGTCCCACTGACTTCAATGGCCTTCCATGCAAACATCCCTGCTAGGGGATCCTGACGTGAGAGCAGGTGCCAGGGGGCCGGATGCAGATACGTTGTTTGAATTTCGACATGGATGGGTCATTGCAATTTGAGCCCAGGGGGAGGGGGATTCACATACTCAGTAATCAGGATAACTTGAAAAAGATTCAGTCAGTTTTCTGTTTGCAGGAAAACAGGGAGATGAAGGGAACCCTGGAATGGAGGGACCAGATGGCCCAAAAGGTAAAGTAGCTAAAGACAAGAGAGCTTTGTTTTCCCATTAGGTGACCTCCTATTACAGCTCTTTATCAAACACCAGTTCCTACAGTATCTGAGATCCACAGTCAGCCTGGCTTCCCTTCACTCCATATGTGGCAAGAAAGGGTCTATTCCAACACGACTGCAGTTGTGCTCCACAGGAAGGTCTGGGTATTTCTGACCAGTCTTTACTATTTTGTGTTTTGTTCAATCAGGACAAAGCGGTGCTGCTGGCCCCCCTGGACTGAAAGGTGAGAGATGATCACAGTTGAAGAGGTCTGGATTAGATCAATGGACAGTCAGGTGGATAGAGAGCTGGCTGGACCGTCAGGCTCAATGGGCAGTGATCAATGGCTCACTGTCTGGTTGGCAGTTGGTATCAAGCAGAGGGCCCCAAGGGTTGGTTCCAGGCCGGTTTTGTTCAACATCTTTATTAATGAGCTGGCTGAGGGGATGGATTGCTCCCTCAGCAAGTTTGCGGATGACACTAAGCTGGGGGAGGGGTAGATACGCTGGAGGGCAAGGACAGGGTCCAGAATAACCTGGACACATTGGAGGATTGGGCCAAAAAAATCTGATGAGCTTCAATAAGGACTAGTGTGGAGTCCTGCACTTGGGACGGAAGAATCCCAAGAATTGTTACAGATTGGGAACCAACTGGCTAAGCAGCAATTCGGCAGAAAAGGCCCTGGGGGTTCCAGCGGATGAGAAGCTGGAGATGAGTCAACAGGGTGCCCTTGTAGCCAAGGAGGCTAATGGCATATTAGGGTGCATTTGGAGGAACATTGCCAGCAGATCTAGAGAAGTGATTATTCCCCTTTATTCAGCACTGGAGTATTGCATCCAGGTCTGGGCCCCCTATTATAGTAAGGATGAGTACACATTGGAAAAAGACCAATGGAGGTTAACAAAAAATAATTAGGGGGCTAAACCACATGACCTACAAAGAGAGGCTCAGGGATTTGGGCTTGTTTAGTCTGCAGAAGAGAAGAGTGAGGGGGGATTTGATAGCAGCCTTCGATTACCTCACGGGGAGTACCAAAGAGGATGGAGAGAGGCTGTTCTCAGCAGTAACAGATGGCAGAACAAGGAGCAATGGTCTCAAGTTTCAGTGGGGGAGGTCTAGGCTGGATATTAGGAAAAACTCGCGCTGGGATGGTTCCCTAGGGAAGGGGTGGAATCTCCATCCCTAAAGGTTTGTATGTCCCAGCTCAACGAAGTCCTGGCTGGAATGATTTAGTTGGGACTGGTCCTGTTTGTAGCAGGGGGCTGGACTTGATGACCTCCTGAGGTCTCATTCAGCCTTTTGATTCTATGATTCCATTTCTTCTGACTTTATGCTTCTGTTCACAGTGATAGAGGAATTGGAATCAGCAATTCTTTATTATTGCATTATTTATTGTACAATTTTTCCTTGCAGCTTCTTGTCAAACAAAAGTGCTGAAATGAAATTGGTGCAAATTGAACAAGAAGTGTCCCTGTATTTTTGTTTAATAGCCAAATGACCAAAAAAATGGAAATGAACAGTTGGAACATTTCAAAATTGTGTAGAAATTATTAGCTGGAAAATGTTCACCCAGCTCCAATTATACTGTCTGATACTCTATGTCACAAGGTCCTATGCCACCACAGGAAATAGGTCCCAACTGCAGTGTAGACAAAGCCTAAGCCTATTTTAGTTCAGCCACTGCAGAAGACGAGATAAACGCAGTACTGCCAATCCCAGCTGGCTGAATATCTTGTGTCAGGTTCACAAAAAAGCAGGAGACGGGTTTTAGAATCAGGACATTATGGACAAATAATAGATTTGGTTTTATTGGTTTTCTCCTTTTTCAGTGTTTAGTATGTATTGGGGTCACATTTTTAAACTTTCTCCACAGCCTCAAAGGCTAGAAACTCCTTTTTCTTTAGGAATGAAGAGTGAAATTATCTCATATCCATTTGACCCCAGAATCTTGGGCTTTAAGGAAAACAGTAGTTACCATGAAACTCATAACAAAACTGTGAGAGTCGGCAACACAGTAAATGCATCACCGGAGTCCCACAAAATGCCAACATTAACAGATTTGCTCAGAGTATAAGGGGTGCATAGCTTTCTTCTAGCCCCGCCCCCGTGCACAATTACACCCACGTGATTGCTGTGGTGAGAGGTTGAATTATGCAGGTGGCATCTAGGCAAAACACGGATTTTACACTGAGTTCTATTTTTAGGAAGTCAAGGAGCCCCGGGGGACCCTGGACCCGCTGGAATACCCGGTGAGACCCTCTGCACTCTCCCTTGTACTGTGCGCATCATTGCAGTTTCATTTCTTCAGCACTAACGTCAAGTGGCTTGAGGAGCTCTCGTCTTGGCTAGTTACCACGTCCACAGCATCAAGCTCACTGATTGTTCTGTAAGATTTGGGCTTTATAAAAGGAGAAATAGCCCTGCCTGCAGAAACAGGTGGCCACCTGTGACATCCAAACAATGTTTTGTAACATCCGAAACAACGCTAGGCAGAGCATCCTCAGTGTTAAAGAGAACAGCTGAAATGTAGGTGAAATCTTTAGATCTGGATGTGTATCCTGGAGAAGGTTACTGTCTCCTACCTCCCTTCTATCCCCAATGTACTAAGAGTAGAAATCACAAGAAATGGGTTTGATCTAAATGCCCAGTTAAAGGAACGACCCTTTTTCTACCAGTACTTTATTTAGCTTATATTCTCCTACAATCACTTGGATTTTTCTAAATATATTGAGTCAAATTCACAGCTAGTGTAAACATATGCTACTCCTCTGTCTTTGTGGGCATTGCTTCTATGAACTGCATATCATTTAGTTTATTAAGGACCAAATTCTTAACCATGCAACAATGAGCCTCATGAGAAGGTTACAAAATAGTGTTGGCTACATAATGAGACCTGTCTTGATGGTTCAAGCTAGAAAGCTCAGATCCCAGATTTGTATGATTCCATTAGCACTTAGTTTTCACAAATAAAAAGTTCCTTAGGGCCTTTTCCACATAATTACTGCTTTGCTATCCCAGCTGTCGCTGCTGGCCACGTACATAGTTTAAGAGGCAATTGAATATTTTCTGGATATATTTAACATTCTATTGTGTTTATTTTCATGAGCAGCAGAGGAAGACCTGTATGAAAGGCAATGTCAGAAAGGTGAGAATTTCTTATGATTTCATTCCATTCAGAAAAACAAGCATGAAACTCCATTGGCACCAGACAAACTGAAAACCCCCCATCTCTGCTTCACCCATTTTTTGTTCTCAAACTGTCAGCAAACAGACTTTGGTCTGTTCAAATGTGTGTGGTCGCACTTAACAACTGGTGCATGAATTTTCTGTGCAAATACTTTTCAGATGATGGGTGCGCTGGCAAACTGTTCCTTGAGTATTCCTGGGAGTATCTGACATTCTTTTGGGAAAAACGGTTTCCCGAGTAACATGATAACTAGAAGCCCTTCTGGCTCAAACATCAATTTCAAATTGATACCTAGACTTTAGTAAGGCATTTGATACGGTCTCGCATGATATTCTTATTGATAAACTAGGCAAATATAACTTAGATAGGGCCACGATAAGGTGGGTGCATAATTGGCTGGATAACCGTAGTCAGAGAGTTGTTGTTAACAGTTCTAAATCCTGCTGGAAAGGGATAACAAGTGGAGTTCCTCAAGGGTCTGTTTTGGGACCTGTACTGTTCAATATCTTCATCAATGATGTAGATATTGGGATAGAGAGTACGCTTATTAAGTTTGCAGATGATACCAAACTGGGTGGGGTTGCAACTTCTTTGGAGGATAGGGACATAATTCAAAATGACCTTAGCAAGTTAGAGAAATGGTCAGAGGTAAACAGGATGAGGTTTAATAAAGAGAAATGCAAAGTGCTCCACTTAGGAAGGAACAATCAGTTCCATACATACAAGATGGGAAGCGACTGTCTAGGAAGGAGCATGGTGGAAAGGGATCTAGGGGTTATAGTGGACCACAAGTTGAATATGAGTCAACAGTGTGATGCTGTTGCAAAAAAAGCAAATATGATTCTAGGTTGTATCAACAGGTGTGTTGTAAGCAAAACTCGTGAAGTCAATCTGCCGCTCTACTCTGCACTAGTTAGGCCTCAGCTGGAGTACTGTGTCCAGTTCTGGGCACCACATTTCAAGAAAGATGTGGAGAAATTGGAAAGGGTACAGAGAAGAGCGACAAGAATGATTAAAGGTCTAGAGAACATGACCTATGAAGCCAGGCTTCATGAACTGGGCTTGTTTACTTTGGAAAAAAGAAGATTAAGGGGGGACATGATGGCGGTTTTCAAATATCTAAAAGGGTGTCACAAAGAGGAAGGAGAAAATTTGTTCCTCTTGGTTTCTGAGGACAGGACAAGGAGTAATGGGCTTAAAGTGCAGCGGGGGAGGTTTAGATTGGACATTAGGAAAAAATTCCTAACTGTCAGGGTGGTCAAATATTGGAATAAATTGCCAAGGGAGGTGGTGGAATCTCCCTCTCTGGAGATATTTAAGAACAGGTTAGATAGACATCTGTCAGGGATGGTGTAGACGGAGCTTGGTCCTGCCTTGAGGGCGGGGGGCTGGACTCGATGACCTCTCGAGGTCCCTTCCAGTCCTATTATTCTATGATTCTATGATTCTATGAAATGGTGGTACGGGAACTTGCAGTTCAACTCTTTGTGCACATTTCAATTCCCATGAACTTTCAAGGTGTTGTCACAGGGAACAGATCGGGTTGGGCACATGGTGTGTCTACAGAGAGCAAGAACAATTTAGCTATGTACATACGCTGCTGCTCTTCTGGTTCTCCAACGCTGGAACACAGAGAGACCACAATCTACTTAACAAGACATACACTACGCAGTTCCCATACACTGCTCCGCCCCTGGGCGCATGGCGCATGCACAGCCCTGCCCCCCGGTGCACCTTACATCTGCAGTTGGGTGCACGGTGCTTGATTGCAGCTCTAAGGGGCGCCATGCAGACACACAGCATCCCTTGCAGCTGCTATCAGGTGCCTCCCATAGGTTGGTGCCCTGGGCAGCTCCCCGGTTATCCCCCCCTTAATCCAGCCCTGGGAGGAGAGGAAAAGCTACTTTTCCGATTAGACTAGAGGGCTGTGCCTGCAGTTTGCTTCGCTCGCCAACCCCTCTCCCTGGAGGCTTTGGCAGCCAAAGAACCTGATGAGGTCATTCTGTTCCACGCAGGAAAACTTTTTTATATTTAGAGAGATGATTCTGCAATTGATTTGGCCCTCAGTGTGCCGAAAGCAGCCGTTGAATCCTGCTCCGAGCAGAGTCAAACAACCAATTACAAATTGCAATTCCTTTTCACCCAGGAGCAAAGAGCTGCCAGGAGCTGTTAGCCAGAGGGAACCACATGAGCGGCTGGTACACCATCTACCCCCACGACTGTCACGCCATGACCGTGCTGTGTGACATGCACACGGATGGTGGAGGATGGATTGTAAGAGCACCGCATAATGAAACTCACTGGATATTTTTTCTTGAACAATTAATTTCCAGGCCCGGGAATGGGAGGTGCCCTTAGCCAGTGGGCTCTGGCTCAGAGACAAGCATGAGGACACAACCTCTGAAGGTGTGGTGACATGAGAAGAGATGGAGGGGGAGCACCAGCCATGCCTCTCCCGCCTCCTTGATCCACTCCCACTCTGCCCCTGCCCACCCCCCTTCACTCAGCACTCTCCACAGCGGCACATTTGCGGAGCAGCGCTGCACTGGCAGGGACCACCCAGCCCCCCCCCTCCCCCCCCCCCCATCGCCAGTCCTGGCCAATCAGGGAGAGGCTTGGAAGAAGCCAATCAGAGGACAGCTGGCTCTATATAAGGAGTTGCCCAGCAGAGAGGAGCAGTCGGGTCCTGTTCAGGGATGGTACAGGACTGATTGACAAGAGGCAGCACCTTAGAGAGAGCACTGCTGGCTGGACAGGCTCAGGGAAGTGGGATAGAGGCTCTAGACACTAAGGCTGTGTCTAGTCTGGCCAGTTTTTCCAGAAAATCAGCCGCTTTTCCAGAAAAACTTGCCAGCTGTCTACACTGGCCACTTGAATTTCCGCAAACGCACTGACTTCCTACTGTAAGAAATCAGTGCTTCTTGCGGAAATACTGTGCTGCTCCCGTTCAGGCAAAAGTCCTTTTGCACAAAAGGGCCAGTGTAGACAGCTCAGATTTGTTTTCTGCAAAAAAGCCCCGATGGCGAAAATGGCGATCGGGGCTTTTTTGCGCAAAAGCACGTCTAGATTGGCATGGACGCTTTTCCGCAAAAAGTGCTTTTGCGCAAAAGTGTCCGTGCCAATCTAGACGCTCTGTTCTGAAAATGCTTTTAACGGAAAAGTTTTCCGTTAAAAGCATTTCCGGAAAATCCTGCCAGTCTAGACGTAGCCAGACACTTTCCAGCCCTGCTAACCCTCCTGACCCTCACCGAAGGCTTCTTGACACCTGGGCAGTGGGCACGAGGGGTTTCATGGAGGGAGCCTGGAGCCTTAGAACCAAAAGACCCCGTCTGAGGGGACATTTGTCACTGGTACGACACAGGTCCCCGGATTCCCCCTTCTGGCTGTTCTCTGCCCGGCTCCCGGACCCTCCTCAATAGGGGCTGGAACCAGAATTCCTGCTTCCTTCCACTTGGATCACAGAGCTGATTGCCAGGCCAGGGCTGTACACTTTGGAGCACGTGACCCTTTGTTGCTGCCAAGCTACACTGTGATCGTCCGGACAAGCCCTCTGCGCTAGTCCCCTCAGGCTGAACTGGAGCTGACACTGTCCGTCTCCCCAACGCTTTGCTGCCTCGGGGTTTCCAGTCTCACGCTCTGTGTGGGAGGGTGACAAAGTGGGGTTTCCCAGCTACGAGTCTCCCGTTCCCCTGCAGGTGTTCCAGAGACGGGCGGACGGCTCCGTGGATTTTTACCGGGACTGGAAGTCGTACAAAAGAGGTTTCGGGAGCCTGCTCTCAGAATTCTGGCTGGGGAACGACAACATCCACCTGCTGACGTCCCAAGGTAAAGACATCCCTGGTGCTTCCCTTTCCTCACAGCCACCCACGCAGTCGTACTGTCGGTAGAGGCAGCCTGGCTGCCCCAGACCCTGCTTCCTATTCATCACTGCACAGCCCTGCCACGCAAAGCTATCGAGCCCAATAATTCCACGATTACTGGGCTGACTCCAGTCATGATTCATGGGGCAGAATTTTGTCTTTGGGGGGTTCACCCATGGCTGCAGATGGCAATGAGGGGGCCATGGACTGGACGAGGTCATGGATTCTGAACTCCCTTAGCAAGGCCCAACCTGGAGCAGGTTATTAATAGGGATCTCAGGACAGGGCATGGAAATTGAATTGATGAAGGTTGATATGAATATATTGGCTTAATGCAAGAATACATGGGTGAAATTATGTGACGTGTGTGATGCAGGCAATCAAACTAGATGATCATAATAATCCTGACATAATGAGGCCTGATTTGTGTTTAGAGCTTCTGCAATTAAAAAAAAGCAACAATAGTAATGAGCACTAATGTTGAAAATGTTACTGTCAAATTATTTTCTAAAGGAGCCACTGAGCTTCGCATCGATCTCAGAGATTTTGACAACAGCTATCAATTTGCCACATATGCGTCATTCCAAATTGCAGGAGAGACTGACCAGTACAGGTTGACTCTTGGTCCCTTTGTAGAAGGTACAGCAGGTAGGTACCAAGCTCCTAAATTAGATCTTAATGCCCCATAGAAATATCTGAATTAAAGTGAGTAGTCGCGCCAGGATTGGTACAAGTCACTGAGTGTGTGCATAGGTCCCATTTCATGCAAACTGCATCCGGATTCCTTCATACCCAAGCCAGAGAGAGTCAGTAGCATACAGAGCCTGCTGCGCATCGCTGCGGGATTGCTTGAGCCCAGCCACTCGCCAACTAGGAAGAAGGGCTTTTAATTAGGAAGATAACAAAAGCCAACAGTAAGCAAAAGGGCCAAGTTAACACGGGACTAAATAGTGGGGGCAGGAGTATGGAGCATCAGAGAAGGACCAAGTGGGAAATCAGTAGAGAAATCTGCTCAAATCTCAGATACCCCTACATCAGTGGTCCCCGGGCATCCGGGGGCGGGGCCACTCATGTGCCGCGAGCCCAGGGCAGGGGCTGCCCATGCGCCATGTGCCCAGGACTGGCACCACGCATGTGCTGCGCACCTGGGGTAGGGGCCATCCATGTGCTATGAGCCCGGGGCCAGCACCGCGCATGTACCACGTGCCTGGGGCAGGGGCTGCCCATGCGCTGTGCACCCAGGGCTGGCGCTGTGCATGTGCCACGCACCCGGGGGTGGGGGCGGGGCCAGCCCAGATCATTCCGCGGGTGCACATAAATGCCCCAGCGAGCGCCATGGTGCCTGCAGGCACTGCGTTGGGGACCACTGCTCTACATAAATGCAAGGTGGGTGGGGAATAAACAGGAAGAGCTGGCAGGATTAGTGTAGAATAACTACTTAAGTGACATAGAAATGGAGTGGGATAAGTCACGTTACTGGAACAGTTTGTTTAGGTGGGACAGGCAGGGTAGAAAGGGAGAAGGCGTAGAATATACTTGTTCTCTGCTCCAGGAGGAGGTGAGAGGCTGACCAATTGACAAGCTCTAGGTACAGGGGGGAAAAAGGTAAAAAGTAGAAGTGACTTCTTGGTGCGGGTGTACGATAGTCCCAAAGGACTATAAGTACTCGCACTTTCGTTGGAAAAAAACACATTTCTAACAAGTCCTTGGATTGTGCTGAGGACACCATTTTGTAGAGGAAACAACCAGGGAACCAGCTATTTAAGACTTACTTGTGACCAGCAGGGGGATTAGCAGTGAGTCGGAAAGGGGAAGACACTTTGGGTGAAACTGATAATGAAATCCCAGGTTTCTTTCTGCTAAGGAAAGGAAAGAGTAAAACCAGTCAGAGAAGGACATTGGTCTTCAAACCAGCAGATTTAACAAACGCGGAGGGCTGATTGGGCCTATGGGTAAAACTCTAGGGGGAAATGGAGCTTGGGAGAGCTGGTCGTTTCTCAAGGGGTATGTCCAAACTACAGGGTTTTTTCGAAAAAAGTGGGCTGCGTCTAGACTGCTGGGCTGTGTCTACACTGGCACCCTTTTCCGGAAAAGGGATGCTAATGAGACACTTCGGAATTGCAAATGCTGCAGGGATTTAAATTTTCCCTGCGACATTTGCATGAACATGGCTGCCGCTTTTTTCCGGCTTGGGGCTTTGCCAGAAAAAAGCGCCAGTCTAGACGGGATCTTTCGGAAAATAAAGCCTTTTCCGGAAGATCCCTTATTCCTCTTAAAATCAGACCGTTTTTTTGACCACAGAAAACCTCGTTTTACAAGGAAGAACGCCTTGTTTCAAAGTGCTCTTTCGGAAAAGGGCGCTATGGAATGCAAACTGTGCTTTTAGAAAGAGAGCGTCCAGACTGCCTGGGTGCTCTCTCTTGAAAAAGCGGCCTGCTGTTTTGAAAGTACTGGTTGTAGTCTAGACGCTCTTTTTCAAATGAGGCTTTTTCGAAAGCAAGGGAAACAAGGGGGAAGGAGAGTAAGCCCAAACATGTGTGGTGTGGGGAGGAGTTAAAGAATGATCACCAATCATGGTAACGCGTGTAAAGAGCTAGCTGAACCAATCTTAGAATGTCATATCTTTTGATTTTAGTGGGACTTTTGACATGACTTTTGACATGACATGACATTCTGAATAAGCAAACTGGGAAAATGCAATCTGTATAAAATTCCTATAAGGTGAGTGCAGAACTGGTTAAAGACTGCACTGAAAGTTTAGTTGTCAAGATTTGTTGTAACGCGTGTAAAGAGCTAGCTGAACCAATCTTAGAATGTCATATCTTTTGATTTTAGTGGGACTTTTGACATGACTTTTGACATGACATGACATTCTGAATAAGCAAACTGGGAAAATGCAATCTGTATAAAATTCCTATAAGGTGAGTGCAGAACTGGTTAAAGACTGCACTGAAAGTTTAGTTGTCAAGATTTGTTGTCACACTAGGAAGGTCTATCTAATGAGACTCTGCAAGGGTCATTCCTGGGTCTTATAGCAGATAATATATTCCTTCCTGAATTGGATAATTGAGTGAAGATTATGGGATATAGAGCACATGCTTATGAAGTTTGCAAGCTGGGAGGGGTTGCGCATGCTTTGGAGGACAGAATTATAACTCAAAATGATCTAGACAACCTGAAGATATAGCCTGAGGTAAACAGAATGAACTTCAATAGGGACAAATGCACTCGAGGCCAGGTAGGAAGGAACAATTGGTTGCACATATACACATGGGAAATGTCTCCCTAGGAAGGATACTGCAGAAAGGGATCCGGGGCTCAGGGTGGACCACAAGCTAGCCAGGAACGAACAGTGTGACATTGCTGCAAAAAGAGCAAACCTCATTCTGGGAGATCCTAACAGCAGTGTTGTGAGCAGGACAGTCATTCTGCGCTACACCCCTATGATTGGGCCTCGGGAATGTTGTGTCCAGCTCTGGGCGCCACATCCAGGAAACGTGAACAAATGGGAAAAAAGCCAGAGACGAGCCAGAAGAATGACTGAAGATCTGGAAGACAGGCGCTAGCACACAGTTGTCCCATCCACAGAATGGTTCGGGGCGGCCCAGAGACAGCCATCTCAACCGTCCTATGGACACGTCCCAGGGTGGCCCAAGGAGAAGTGGGGCGCAGCAGGCGGGGAGAGGGCAGCGCAGTGGGGCAGGTTACTGAGCCACTCCAGCTCCTGCCACCAAAGTAAGTGTGGGGGCGGGGCGATCGCTGCTGCCCGGCTGGTCATTCCCAGCCCACATTTGGCACAGGGATGGGAAGAGTGAAATGGGAGTGGGGAGGTGGAGCAGAGGCAGGATGAGGGTGGGCTCTGGGGCCAATGCCTGGGACAAAGGGGGGTGGTTACGCCATGTCCCTCACCCACAGAGACAGCCTTGCCTATGAGGGAACAATGAAAGAATTAGGGTTCTTCTGGAAAAGAGAAGAGAGAGGGGAAACAGCAGCTTTCAAGTATCTAAAAGGTTGTTACAAGGAGGAGGGAGAAAGATTGTTCTCCTTGGCCTCTGATGCTAGCACAAGCAGCAATGGGCTTAAACTGCAGCAAGGGAGGTTCAGGTTGGGCACTAGGAAAAAGTTCCCAACTGTCAGGGCGGTCAAACACTGGAATAAATTGCCCAGGGAGGTTGTGGAATCTCCGTCTCTGGTGATTTTTAAAAGCAGGTTGGATAAAACCCTCCGGATGGTGCTTGGTCCTGCCATGAGGGCCGGGGACTGGACTCAGTGGCCTCTCGAGGTCCCTTCCAGCCCTAGGGTTCTAGGAGTCCATGCAGATGGTTTTCAATCACTGAACAGGCCAATCTGAGATTTGCCGGGTCTTTGGCTGTTGTTGCAAATGCCTGTATCCTGGTGGGAAGCTGCTTGCTGCCTATGGGCTCTTCTCCCTTCGGGCTGCAGGAGCCAGCTCATCATGGGACCACACGTCACAACCGCTTCCCAAGATTTCCTGTTGGGCAGGGTCAATTCCAGATTCCTTCCCAGCTCGCTTGCCCGCGTCTCTGCAGTGACGCGTGGGATGCCCTGTTGTTTTGGCTCCCTGTGATAGCTGCCCATGTCTTCGTTTGGGCCGCTGTCACTGGGCGCTCGGGTCATTTCCCCTTCATTAGGGCTGAGGAAAGTGCCCTCTGAAGAGCTTCTGTGTGGGTGACTTTACCCTGACATTGGTGGAGTCAGTGTAGGTGGGAAATGTTTAACCCTTTCTCCTGAGGAGCACAAATTCTCCATGGCTCCCCCCAGCCCTTGCGAGTACTAGGAACGCAGTCTTGGCACACCAGCATTTTGGCCTTGATGGCAGCTTTGAGCTGTTCCATGCTCTTTTAATTAGTCTGCTAATATAGCCACAATTCGCAACATTTAATTGTTCATCCAGGCTATGACTGCAGGCTTCTTTTGGAAGAAGCTTTTCCGGAAGAGATCTTCTGAAAAAACTTCTTCCGAAAGAGAGTGTCTACACAGCAAAAGCACATTGAAAAACTATCTGCTTTTTCAAAAAATAGTGTCCACACTGAATGGACGCTCTCTCGCATTCAAGTTGTGATTACCAGGGCTTGACAAACGACAGTGAAAACTGCTCGCCAGCCCCGTACTGCGCATGTGCAAGAGCCGCATTGCGCATACACTCACCGCGAATGAACGGGGCGTGCAGCTGAAATCTACTCGCCACAGGCGGGTAGATTGTATAGTTTGTCGAGCCCTGGTGATTACTATGGACCGAGTGGCCACCAGGGCACCTGTGTTTTTTCCTCTTTCCTCTTCTTTCGAAAGAACTCCCTCTTCCCCGTCCACATACTCCATTTTCTGAATGAGCTCTTTCAGAAAAAGGCCTCTTCCTCATAGAAAGAGGGTTACGGAAAACCCCTCTGTTCTTTCGATTTTTTTTTTTCAAAAGAATGCAATTGCAGTATTGATGTAAGTGAAGTTTTTCCGGAAAAATAGCCGTTTTTCAAAAAAAAACCTTTGCAGTGTAGCCATACCCCCAGTGAGGAATTGGTGATCACTGGGTAACCTAAATAGCTGAACTTTTAAAGTGCTTCTAGCTGGTTTGCATTTAAGATAATTGAAGGATCTTTTGGAAACCCCTCATAGAATCATACAGTTGGAAGAGTCCTCAGAAGTCATCAAGTCCAACAACCTGCCCACACCAGGAGCAACCCAATTAAATCATCCCAGCCAGGGCTTTGTCAAGCCAGGATTCCACCCCTTCCCTAGGAAACCCATCCCAGTGTTTCTCCACTCTCCTAGGGAATTCGTTTTTTCTAATATCCACCATAGACCGCCCCCACTGCAACTTGAGACCATTGCTCTTTGTTCTTCCATCTGTCCCCATTGAGAACAACCTCTCTCCAGCCTCTTTGGACCCTCCTTCAGGAAGCTGAAGGCTGCTCTCAAATCCCCCCTCACTCTTCTCTTCTGCAGACTAAACAAGCCCAAATCCCTCAGCCTCTCCTCCAAAGTCATGTGCTCCAGCCCCCAAATATTTTTGTTGCCCCCCCCCAACTGGACTTTCTCCAATGTGTCCACATCCTTTCTGTGGTGGGGGGGGTCCAACATTGGAAGCAATACTCCAAATGTGGCCCCACCAGTGTCAAATAAAAGGGAATAATCAGTTCTCTAGATCTGCTCGCAATGCTCCTCCTAATGGGCCCCAATAAGCCGTTAGCCTTTGTGGCTACAAGGGCACACTGTTGACTCATATCCAGTTTTTCATTCACTGTAAACCCCAGGTCCTTTTCTACAGAACTGCTACTTAGCCAGCTGGTCCCCAGCCTGTAAGAGTGCTTGGGATTCTTCTGTCCCAGGTGCTGGATTCTGCACTTAACTTGTCGAATCTCATCAGATTTCTTTTGGTCCAGTCCTCCAATTTGTCTCGGTCATTCTGGACCCTATCCCTCCTCTCCAACGTATCTACCTCTCCCCCTAGCTTAGTGTCATCTGCAAAGTTGCTGAAGGTGCAATCCATCCCCTCATCCATGTCATTAATACATCTGGGCTACGTCTACACTGGCATGATTTTGCACAAATACTTTTAACGGAAGAGTTTTTCCGTTAAAAGTAGTTGCGCAAGAGAGCATCTACACTGGCATGTGCTTTTGCGCAAAAGCATCCGTGCCAGTGTAGACACTCTCTTGCGCAAGAAAGCTCTGATGGCCATTTTAGTCATCGGGCTTTCTTGCGCAAGAAATTAACGTTGCCTGTCTACATTGGCCTCTTGTGCAAGAATAATTGCGCAAGAGGGCTTATCCCTGAGCAGGAGCGTCAGAATATTTGAGCAAGAAGCACTGATTTCATACATTAGAACGTCAGTGTTCTTGAGAAAATACTCGCAGCCAGTGCGCAAAATCTTGCCAATGTAGACACAGCCCTGTTGAACAAAACCAGCCCTAGAAGTGACCTTTGGGGCACTCCACTTGATATCGACTGCCAGCCAGACATCGAGCCATTGATCACTGCCCTTTGAACCAGACAATCCAGCCAGCTTTCTATCCACCTTACAGTCCATGTGTGTAATCCATACTTCATTAACTTCTTGGCAAGAATTCTGTGGGAGACCGTCTTAAAAGCTCTGCTAAAGTCAAGCTCCCAATACAACTGTTTTCTCAATACTGATGCTGAGAGCAAACGCCTGACAAACACATGCAAGGTGGCCCAGGAGTACTTGTCATAGACTCGTAGAATACTAGAACTGGAAGGGATCTCGAGAGGACATCAAGTCCAGTCCCCTGCCCTTATGGCAGGACCCAGTACCATCTAAACCATCCCTGATAGATGTCTATCTAACCTGCTCTTAAATATCTCCAGAGAGGGAGATTCCACAACCTCCTAGGCAATTTATTCCAGTGTTTAACCACCCTGACAGTTAGGAACTTTTTCCTAATGTCCAACCTAAACCTCCCTTGCTACAGTTTAAGCCCATTGCTTCTTGTCCTGTTCTCAGACGCCAAGGAGAACAATTTTTCTCCCTTCTCTTTGTGACACCAATTTGGACACCTAAAAACTGCTATCATGTCCCCTCTCAGAGTACGTCTAAACTACATGCCTCCGTCGACGGAGGCATGTAGATTAGTTTATTCGAAAAAGGGAAATGAAGCCACGATTTAAATAATCGTGGCTTCATTTAAATTTAAATGGCTACCCCGCTCTGCCGATCAGCTGTTTGTCAGCAGATCGGGGCAGTCTGGACATGCCGCGGTCGACAATGAAGCCTTTGTTGATCGGCGCAGGTAAACCTAGTTTCACGAGGCATACCTGCGCTGACCGACAAAGGCTTCCTTGTCGACCACGGCGCGTCCAGACTGCCCCGATCTGCCGACAAACAGCTGATCGGCAGAGCGGGGCAGCCATTTAAATTTAAATGAAGGCTTCATTAAATCTCCGAACAAACATTAATTGCTTTAAATCGCGGCTTCATTTCCTTCTGCCGCTCTGTCTAATCTACATGCCTCCGTCGACGGAGGCATGTAGTCTAGACACACCCTCAGTCTTCTCCTTTCCAAACTAAATAAGCCCAATTCTTTCAGTCTTCCCTCATAGCTCATGTTTTCTAGACTGGTAATCATTCTTGTTGCTCTACTCTGGACCTTCTCCAATTTCTCCACGTTTCTTGAAATGTGGTGCCCAGAACTGGACACAATAGTCCAATTGAGGCCTAATCAGTGCAGAGTAGAGCGGAAGAATGACTTCTTGTGTCTTGCTCACAATACTCCTGTTAATACATCCCAGAATCATGTTTGCTTTTTTTGCAACAGCATCACACCTGTTGACTCATATTTAGCTTGCGGTCCACTCTGATCCCTAGATCTCTTTCTGCAGGACTCCTTCCTAGACAGTCACTTCCCTGTATGTGTGATTGTTCCTTCCTAAGTAGAGCACTTTGCATTTGTCCTTAATAAACTTCATCCTGTTTACCTCAGACCATTTCTCCAGTTTGTCCAGATCATTTTGAATTATGACCCTAATCCTCCAAAGCACTTGAAACCCCTCCAAGCTTGGTATCATCTGCAAACGTAATAAGCTCACCCTCTATGCCAATATCTAAATCGTTGATGAAGATATTGAACAGAGTCTACTGTCATCGATCTTCACTGCGGGCTACGAGCGGCAGCATCAGCAGGGAATGCAGGTTCCACAATTAGCACCTCTTTGGCTTTGGTCTATGACATAAGTTGTGACAAGTTGAAGAGTTTCCCGTCCGATCCTGTGTGGAGATGCTCTCAGGACGTGGCCTGGTGAAAAATATTCCCCACGGGAAGTAGAACTGCAGTCTCACTCCTGACCCCAGAGAGATTTCTGCTGCCTGGTACCATGGGAAATTTAGCAACCACCTGCAAGATTGCCAGACTGGCTGTGGCAACTCAACTGTAAATGTGATTCTCTGGCCTAGCTTGTCTCTGTACAAACCTATAATAGAGAAATCCAATTGTTTTCACAGGGGATTCCTTCTCCGAACAAAATGGCATGATGTTTTCAACCTATGACCATGACAATGACATTACCGAGAAACAATGCGCTATATCCTTTCAGGGGGCCTGGTGGTACAGGGATTGTCATCGCTCTACCCTGAATGGGTTATACCTGAAAGAAGACCGAGGTTACGCTGATGGGGTGAACTGGCCTTCTGGCAAAGGGCGCAATTACTCCTACAAGATGTCTGAGATGAAAATTAGACCTGTGTAGTCAATTGGGGAGTTAGTTACCATGATTATACTTAGCTCTTATATAGCAGTTATAGTTTTGTCATAATGACCATTTATCTGGGGATGACACTAAAGACCTTTTCTTCATGCAGATGCACTAGGCGCATCCATCACACACACTAATCCAGTGGAGTTCAAAAGGGCTAGAGCTGATACAAAACTATGAAAATATTGAATTTCTAAGTTGTTTTCATTTGAAAGGCTTCTATATTAAGTCTTTTTCGCTTTTGTAGATTTTTTTAATGTTTGGAGATTATTTTAACAATTCCTCTCCTTGCTACACAGTAACAGAAAATGCAAATTCATTTTCTCATTTCCCAAAAATGTAGCTTTCTATAAAGAAAAAGAATTGTCATTATCACGTCAATATTTTCAGCGATTGCTCAATAAAATATTTTATGATTTATTCCCTGCCAAGCAATACATGGCGATGTCAGTGATATTTCACGGAAATGTCCCGGTGCTTTTAAAACTCTGTTTGCCCACAGAAAATCTCTCAGTTTGCAAACTGCCGGCCAGGGCTGTCTCGGCCCTGTCTCCTTTCCCGGCCGGCTCTCTGCTGTCTGGTGATTCCATTCCTGGCAGCTCCTAGCACTGCCACGCCCTTCTTCCCGGGCTGCGCCACTCGGTACCCGCAGATGCTGCATCCGCCCCTGGGAACCTTCCCTTGGGTGGATAAAGCAAAGGCGGCTGGAGGGTTGCCCCATTTCACATTGGTTTGTGCCCACAAGACTGGTCTGCAGCGCTCACGCCCGAGGGCCCGGCCCTGCATTGTTACATGGGGGGCAGAGGCCCCCGGGTTGGAGGGGACGTTCGTTGTCTGGCTCCCGGGGGCGCACGAGGGGGCGCGACCTCGGCCAGCAGTGTCCTGGCTGGGGAAGGAGCCAGTCTGACCATGTGGTGCCAAGGAGCGCGCAGAGCAATCTCAGGCCAGGCCGAGACTAGAAAGTCCCAGGGCCGAGCCAGAGCCCGGGGGGCCTTGTGGGGCAGGACTGGCCGCCCCTCCCTCGCCCGGGGCTCTGGTGCCCGGGGAAGGTCGAACGGTCACAAGGCCCACGCCCAAATCCCTCCCACTCCACGTGCCCGTAGCCGGGGAACAAGCCCAGGGGCCCGAAGAAGCTTTTAATTCGTCCTTGCCGCTGCGCCGCCAGCTCGGCTCCCATCTCTCCCCGGGGCCCCGGCCGAGCCCAGGCCCTGCCCTCTGCTCCCGCTGGCCCAGGCCCCGCACCAGCCACAGTCTGCACCTGCTGTT